CCCAGACTGCAGGTCTTGTTGGGTGTTCCTGGTCTGTAGTGGTTAGTACCAACAGTGTCTAAGGAAGGACAAACAGTGAACTGCCGACAGGGTCATGGACACCCGAGGCTCACAGAGGATGAGGTCGACCTACTGTAGATTAAACCTTCGAGTTTCATTCATCCTTTTCAAAAGATCCCATTTAGTTTGAATCATAACCTCTAGAGTCCCTGCGTCCTCATATGAGGACCGCACAGCTTGGGTTTCCAAAGCTCAGGACTCTAGAGGTTAAAATGAGTGAAAGTGAGAAATACTGTACATTGGTCTCTATGAAGAGAAACATTCAGAGGCTATAGTGGTGATATTACATCTAGAGTGGGGAGGCTGTTGAAAGTGTCTGCAAACTGATCTCTAGCTTGTCCTCACGACCACAGTTTTCACTCCTTTTACATATGTTTCTCACTGAATGGCCATCAAATCTGTGCTCTTCCTGACAGTAGAACTGTAAAAGCAAATGGATTGATCGAACATGCACAGTGAGCTGCAAAATTACAGCCAGGGGCAGCTCAGGAGGCAGCGCAGTCATCTTCCAACTTGAAGCCTGGCTGCTTGATTCCTGGTCTCCCCAGTCTACATGTCGAAGTGTCCTTGGGCAAGACACCCAAACCCCAAGTTGTCCTTGGTGGCCAGGCAGCAACTCGGACAGCACCACCATCAGTAAGCTGCGCCATGCAGGACTAATAAAAGAATAATTATTTATTTACACAAGTGCCAACCAACTGCAAGATGCATTTTGTTGTGTTGTCCAAGATATTAAATAAGTTAAAAACCTAATGACCAACTATTATTTGAGCCGAAATGTGCAGCAAATGCTCTCAGCATTTAGTTTTTATTTCAGATGGGATCTGTTCTTCTTCTGATAACAGACCTGCTTGCCTAATCCTTCTTCATTTCCCTTCAGTTGCTGTATCTTCTCCTCCTCACCTCCTCCTCTGTTCTTCCTTGTCCACTTATACTATTACACTCCACATCTTTTCTCTACTGTTCTGTCTCTGCCCTGCTAGGCCATACTCCTTTTTGTTTTATCACCCTCCACATTTTGATCTTCATCATCTCCTTTAACCTCTTTCACCCTTCTCACTCTGCCTCCCCCCTGAGAGCTGCAGTGTGAGTTCAGCTTCCATGCCAACTTATGTCACCTCCTTCACTGAGCACTTGTTTGGTGACTGACTGACAGCACCAGCTGGTGCTCTGCCAGGCTCCAGAGTTACCAGAGGCACTTCTCCTCTTGACGTGAGGTTGAGACAATTTTGGTTTGCAGAGGAAGAAGAGCATGTGAAGAGGAAATCTCTTGTCCCCCTTTGATCATTTTAATTTCTCTTTCCTTTATTCCTCTTTCCACCTTCTTCTCTTCCACCTCCTTCTATTCTGGGAGATTCCCTGGGGCAGCAGCTGAACCTTCTAGACAAATATACCCTATATAAGGCTGGAGGTATGCCATCACTCCCCCCTTCTAGCTTTCCATCCTGATCCCTTCTTTGCTCCTCTGGTGACTCTTTATTTGAACTTTAAAAAAAAATCATAACACAAAATAAGAAATTCTAGATAACATTGTGCCTATAAGTAAGAGTCAGTGCCTTTATGGTCCAGATTACAGCATGAAATGTTAAGCAAGTTCCTGGCTCTCTTGCATGAAGCCCGAGGGCTTTAAACCAAACGCTTGAAACTGCACAAAGCTACAGTGAAGTCAGAAATTACATTTTACATTGCTATGTCGTGGTTATTTCTCATCATGTTATATTTTGAATCTTGTGACTAACTTCAATACAGCAGGACTCTCTTCAGGAGGTAACCTGGATATTTGCACTCTTGGTTAGTTGTCAGAGCTAAATTAAATTAGATGTTTTATTCAGATCGCGTAATATCTGCATGTAGATGCTAGTACATTCTTCTGCTTATAACACACTTGTCTTCTTATTGACAATGGATGAATGGTAGTTCGTTTAGTTTTTGTGTGTTTTTCTGCTCAGTGTGTGTTGACTCTCCCTGGGTTGCATGTATGGATGTTAAAATCTTCTCCTACAGAAGTCACAGATTTGTCTGCATAATGACAATGAATAGTACACTTCCTGGTCGAGTAAAGTCATTTTATTTAGCTATTTTTTGGTGTATGTGTGTCTTGACAGGACCATGCCTGTGGCTAAAGAGACAGGTGTGGGTTTAAGGGTAGTCTATAGAGTGCTATTTTGTAATGTCAATACCAGTTTTGACATCCTGATAGGGAAATGAGATTTTATGTTAGACTAGTCAATACTATGTGCAGGAGTATTTGCTCCTGTGTGGTCTGTGTTGTTTGTGTTCTATCTTTGCAGGACAGAGAGGCCCAAAGGGATGGAGAGTCCAAAGTGAGGGCAGGAGCTGTTGTGTACATGAAGATGCCCCGGAGG